TGTTTGGAATTATAGGAGTTGTAATTTAACAAATTATTTAGCCTTCTTTGCTGAAGACTACCAGGGTCTCATCAAACTACAACACCGAGCCACAGCAGTTAAAACGGAGTCAAGCTGGATTAATTCTGCAGTGTGTATGCACCCAAAGTAAGTATGATTTATTATTGCTTATGTGGATTTAGAATAAACTGTTGCCCTTCTATTAGAAGGCAAACATCTTTTGAGATAAGCTTTTGGCAAAGTACTGACTGCTAAGAAAGGAGCTTTTACCAGATTAGGCTGTTTTTTATTAATATTTTTTAAATTGCTTTTTAATTTCATACTTCTAATATTATAATTTGCTTGATTGGATTTTAACATTATATAATGCTTTTGTAACTATTTGTATCTGTATGAATCCTGTTATGATTCACTCATGTGTCCCAGTTTTAGGGAAAAAGTAACTCATGCACCTAATTAATTTACCAATTAATCCAGCATGCGTGCCAATTCCTCTGACAAATAAATAACAATATTTTATTGCACAATGCTGAAATGCTTGTGAATTCTAATACAATGACTAAGATAAATCTAAACCCAACTGAACATAATGATTTCAGGTTGAAGCTGTTGTATGAAGCCAGGCATGATGAATATTACTGCTGAAAACTAATGCTGCAGCAACAGTGTGTGAAAAGGTAATGGATTTTTCCTCTGAATGGTCACATCAAAGTATATGTGTTGCTTCTTATGATTGTAAGGCTTCAGCACATAGGAAAGTTGTTATAGAGAATGCCAGAAGACAATTGATTGCTGATAGTTTTGCCATGCAGGAAGTACAAGACTGTTCAGTGGGCTACATTAAAACTTAGGGTGCATCTACGCTGCAGAATAAATGCAGTTTGACACTACTTTAGTTGCCATGGCTCAATGCTATGGAACAAGGCTGTTGTGGTTTGATGAGGCACTAGCACCCTTTGGCAGTGAAGGTTGAAGACCATGCAAAACTACAACTCCATAGCACTGAATCATGTGAAGCTGCATTCATTTCACAGTGTATATGCACCCAAAGAGTGTGCACATTCTTGACCTTTGTAATGGAATTGCATTCCTGATAAAAGGAGAATTCGAGACTGAAAACTGGAAAGATCTCCTATAGTGGTTGCATAGAAGAGAGGATTTCAGCAGATTGAGCTTGTTCCCGAACCAATGTGGTGGCTTGAGTATTGGATATGGGTGCATCAACACTACATAGTTAATGCAGTTTGACACCACTTTAACAGCCATGGCTCTGTGCTATGAATCCCGGGAAATATACTTTCATAACGTCTTTAGCCTTCTCTTCCAAAGAGTGCCCAACCAAAGTATGATTCTCACGATTCCATAGCACCGAGTCATGGCAGTTAAAGTGGCATCAGGCTCCAATATTTTATAGTGCATATGAATCCTAAGATGTCAGAATCTGGTGTACAGATTAAGGTCACCATTGTTAGAATTAGAATTTCACAACCATCTACATCCACCATGATCAGATATCATCCCTCAAGATTATTCCTGAGGGATGACACCATTTGAAACTATTCTAAGGTTAGATTCTGGCTCCTGAATTCCCTACACCTCCTGAATAAGTGACATGTAAATCAGAATGAAATAATTTAAGATCAGTCTGAAAGCTGAAATTGCAAGGCACAAACATACTGCTTTATTCTAAAAATGAGGCTGGAAAAAATGGACAGAGTCTCACAATGACCTCTTGATTTTTGTTGAAGACCATGTGTATAACAACAGGAAAGCAATGCTTTATTGTTGTCAAAGCGTAAGATTTTCAACATTGCACTGCGACTCTGGAACCCAGGGTTTGAATCCACACTCAGCCATGGAAACACACTGATTAGAAAGCCAAACAAAAAAGGTACCACAAAAGGTTTTTTATATATATTACATAGATGACATTTAGAAGGAAACAAAATATTGCTGTATCTGCAGAGGTGAATGAATCTCACCTTCCATATGATGTTAACATAGGTCTTTGTGCTTAGAGTAAAATCCCTGGGAGTCTAATAATGGCTTAGAAATTTAGCTGTAGCATTTCTAGCACATTAAGATGGCAGAGAAGGAGAGTTTGCCTACTGTCTCATCTCCTGCTTTGTCTTTCCCTTTTCTCTTTGAATCTACTTAACCCCCCTTTTTCTTTTTACAATATCAGTCCAGCAATAAATTCAGGTCTATGTTTTTGCAAACCGAACACAGTCAGCCCCCAAATTATGAACATGATAGGTTCTGTAGGTTTCTAAGTCGGAACAGGTACATTTTTAAAATGTAACTCCACCCACCCCACCCCCTCCACACAAACATATATAAGCTTTGGATAGCATATGGATGGGTTAACCTTTCAGTGGAGATAAATTTTTTTGGGCTGTCTGTTCCCCTATTCAGAAGATGTTGCCTCACTTTCTGTCCCTGTGATAATTGGATTTTTAAAAAATGGCTTGTTGGGTACAAGGAGGGGTGATCAAACTTCAGTGGATACACCTTTCCCCCATGATAATAACTCTTCCAGGAATGTATTTCCCTTGCAAGGGATAGACTTCTCTCACTTCCTGTTGTCTCATCCCCATTCTTATCTATGGATCATCTGTAAATTGGATGTTTGTAACTAAGGGACTGCCTGTACTTGAAACCTGGATTTAGAATTCTTTTTGGAAATGAGTTGTTCTACAGATTCTTCAAGAGCCAGTGTGGTATTGGGCTAAACTAAGATACTTTAAAGATGAGGGTTCAAATCCCTACTCATCACACAAGTCACACTCTCTCGGCCTCATGACAAATCTTATCAAACAATGAAAGCACCAAGGCATTGGCATCTCTAGCCCATCCTCTATTCGGATATCAGCCAACATGCCAACGTCTTACATCAAGAAACAGCTTACTAAGATCTATAGAAAAACTTGCAGGAACACCCCAGAAAGTGAGAGTACAAAAGTGGCAGGCTAAAACCTGGAACCTTGGGTGTTAAGATCTGTAGGGGAGGCCCTGCTCTCAGTCCTGCCTCCTTCGCAGGTATGGACAAGAGACAGGGCCTTCTCGGTCTTGGCCCCTCAGCTTTGGAACTCCCTCTCTAATGATATTAGATCAGCCTTGTCTCTCCTGGTTTTCAGAAAGAAAGTCAAAACCTAGCTGTGGAAGCAGGTGTTCTGAAAGTAGCATAACCACAGTGCAATATACATCCATGGAATCGATAGTGAGATTAGGTGCCATATCTTTAAACAGTTTTTAATTGTTATTTATATATTTTATTTGATTTTAATGTTTAATGTGTTGTGTATTGTATGCTTGTATTTCTAGGTGCAAAGATTACTGCAGACGCAGACTGCAGCCTGGAAATCAGGAGACACTTACTTCTTGGGAGGAGAGCAATGACCAATCTCGATAAAATAGTGAAGAGTAGAGACATCACATTGGCAACAAAGATCCGCATAATTAAAGCAATGGTATTCCACATAGTCACCTATGGATGTGAGAGCTGGACCATAGGGAAGGCTGAGCGAAGGAAGATAGACGCTTTTGAACTGTGGTGTTGGAGGAAAGTGCTGAGAATGCCTTTGACTGCGAGAAGATCCAACCAGTTTATACTTAAGGAAATAAAGCCTGACTTCTCATTGGAGGGAAGGATATTAGCGACAAAGTTGAAGTACTTTGGCCACATCATGAGGAGACAGGAAAGCTTAGAGAAGACAATGATGCTGGGGAAAATGGAAGGAAAAAGGAAGAGGGGCCGACCAAGGGCAAGATGGATGGTATCCTTGAAGTGACTGGCTTGACCTTGAAGGAGATGAGGGTGGGGATGGCCAACAGGGAGCTCTCGTGTGAGCTGGTCCATGAGGTCATGAAGAGTTGGAAGTGACTGAACAAATAAACAACAAATGCATAGGATTTTGGTTGGGCCTCAGACTAAAAGCAGTTTCTTATAAAATATCCAAAATAGCCCAGGAATTAAATTTTACTGCCGTGGCTCTTTTAAATGCATTAATAATTCACTCAAATTGAGTGCAATTTACAGTCTTGACCAGAAGGAAATAAAGCCTGACTTCTCATTGGAGAGAAGGATATTAGAGACAAAGTTGAAGTACTTTGGCCACATCATGAGGAGACAGGAAAGCTTAGAGAAGACAATGATGCTGGGGAAAATGGAAGGAAAGGGGAAGAGGGGCCGACCAAGGGCAAGATGGATGGATGGCATTCTTTTTTTTATATATATATATATAATTAATTCTTTATTGAGTTTTTTATAATACAGCGAAAGTGGGGGAATAATATAAGAAGATAGAAAAGTAGGAAAATACCCCTACCCTGATACCCGTGAAAGGGAAAGAAGAGAAAAAAGCTGGATGGATGGCATTCTTGAAATGACTGGCTTGACTCTAAAAGAGCTGGGGGAGGTGACAGCCGATAGGGAGCTCTAGCGTGGGCTGGTCCATGAGGTCAGGATGAGTTGGAAACAACTGAATGAATGAACAACAACGTTTCAATGTCACATTAAATATTTGCCAAAACGGGAAGCTGCTCCGAGTCCTCTCCAGGGTGAGATAGAGCAGGGTAGAAATAGTAAATAAATAAAATAATCTCAAACTCCCTCCTGGGTACACAGAAGACTGAGGGCATTTCCACACAGCCATATAACCCAGGGTGATTTGAATGCAACATTCCTGCTTCTTGGCAGGGGGTTGGACTGGTTGGCCCATGAGGTCTCTTCCAACTCTTTGATTCTATATCAAGACAGATAATCCACAATATCTGCTTTGAACTGGATTACCTAAGTCCACACTGCCATACATTATAACTGTATTCTCAATTCGCTTCTGACACGATAAATCAATATATCAAACTTCAAGATTCATTCGAAGGCACACCCCACCAAGCTGGGTGACGAAACCAGGCCTGCTGAAGGGACCACAGGAGCCCTGTCCGGTTTCCAAGTTAGCCTCTCTGCTCGGAAGGGTCCAAACGCGAGGGCAACTCACGTTGTAAGTATGGAAGCTGCTTCCTACTGCGACGGCCAAGTAGAACTCGCGGTGGCGGCGGTGGAAGCGGAGCACGTGCGGCAAGTGGTTGGAGTAGAGGCCCAGAGCCCGGAAGCCCGCCAGGAGCGCACTCTGCCCGCCGCCGGACTCCAGCGCCATCGCCTCGCCTCAGGAAAGGCCCAGCCAGGGGTCCGACCGCCTCACTCCTCAAAGGAACTCCTCGCACGAGTCACGCTGCGGCTGAGGGGCTCCCGGGCACTTACTTCCGGCGGACGCTTACCGCCCAAGCACGCTTCCGGTGCGCTCGCCAAAGCAGTCCGTCGGACCACGTTTCCCGCAGGTTTAGTTCCGCTTTGGTGAAAATGTTTAAGGAAGGTCTCAGTCTGTCTTCCTTCCTTCCTTCCTTCCTTCCTTCCTTCCTTCCTTCCTTCCTTCCTTCCTTCCTTCCTTCCTTCCTTCCTTCCTTCCTTCCTTCCTTCCTTCTTGTCTTTCCTTCCTTCCTTCCTTCCTTCCTTCCTTCCTTCCTTCCTTCCTTCCTTCCTTCCTTCCTTCCTTCTTGTCTTTCCTTCCTTCCTTCCCTACAGCTCCTATGTTTCCATATCATTGAGCCATAATAATAATAAAACTTTATTTGTCCCCCGCCACCATCTCCCCAAGCCCACAGCAGCACATCAATAAACAAAGGTGATAACGAATAGTCAATACAAAACAGTTAAAATAAACTCAAAAACAGAAAATACACAATAAGCAATAAACAATAATAACACACAGCATTGAAAACCTATGACCGGGCCAAAGGTAATAATTAAAATTTAAAATGCTGGGCATGAACCAGGTAGGATAAACTAGGATGGGGTTTTCAGAGAAAGATGAGGGCGCGCAAACAATTTAAAAGTATTTTTCAAACACCAGCTTGCTGACATCAGTGGTGTCTGATCAGTTGTGAGAGACAAAACAGCTTGATGGGTCACAAGATCATAGATTCGGATTGTTCCATTCTTCTCTGCAACCATCAACTTAAATTCCTCTTCGGGATGCCAGCTCACACTCAATATTAAATATTAAAGTGCATTTGAGGACATATTGCTAAGAGTTTTCCTTATTCTGGGAAGGCACACTGGAACAACCACATTTTCAGGCTCCTCTTAAAGACTGCCAGCGTTGGGGCATGTCTGATGTCCTTAGGGAGTGAATTCCAGAGTCGAGGGGCCACCACCAAGAAGGCCCTCTCCTTTGTCCCCATCAATTGCACCTGCGAAGGAGATGGGAGCATGAGCAGGGTCTCTTCAGACTATCGAAGAGATCGTGTGGGATCGTACACAGAAATGCGGTCACGCAGGTAGGCGGGTCCCAAACCGTTCAGGGCTTTGTAGGTAACAACCTGCACCTTGAATTGGGACCGGAAAATGAACGGCAGCCAGTGGAGCTCCTTAAACATGAGGGTTGACCTCTCTCTGTAAGGAGCACCAGTTAGTAACCTGGCTGCTGCCCGTTGTACCAATTGAAATTTCCGGGCCATTTTCAAGGGTAGCCCCACTTAGAGTGCTTTACAGTAATCCAATCTGTAGGTGACTAAGGCATGGACCACCTTGGCCAGATCCGACTTCACGAGGTACAGTTGCAGCTGGCGCATGAGTCTCAATTGAAGCTCAGGCGTTGGCCACCGCCAACGCCTGAGCTTCAAGCATAAGTGATGAGTCCAGGAGGACACCCAGGCTGCGGACCTGTGACTTCAGGGGGAGTGTAACTCCGTCCAGCACAGGTTGCGACCCTATACCCTGATCTGGTTTACGATAAACCAGGAGGACCTCTGTCATGTCGAGATTGATCCTCAGCTTGTTCCTCCTCATCCAGACAGCCACAGCGACCTGGCACTTGTCCAGCACCTAAGGGGCTTCCTTGGAGTTAGGTGGAAAAGAGTAGTAGAGTTGCGTGTCATCTGCATAGAGATGGCACTGAACTCCAAAACTCTGGATGACCTCTCCCAGCGATTTCATGTAGATGTTGAAAAGCATGGGGGACAGAATGGAACCTTGCAGGACCCCACAGGTCAAAGGCCAGGGGTCCGAGCAGGTGTCACCCAGCTTCACCATCTGAGAACGACCCTCCAGGAATGACCGGAGCCACGGCTGTTAAAAGTTTGTGTCAAACTGCAATTATAAGGAGGAGGGAGCAAGCTTGTTTTCTGCTGCCCTGGGGACTAGGATGCAGAACAATGGCTTCAAACTACAAGAAAGGAGATTCCATCTGAACATTAGGAAGAACTTCCTGACTGTGAGAGCTGTTCAGCAGTGGAACTCTCTGCCCTGGAGTGTGGTGGAGGCTCCTTCTTTGGAAGCTTTTAAACAGAGGCTGGATGGCCATCTGTCGGGGGTGCTTTGAATGCAATTTTCCTGCTTCTTGGCAGGGGGTTGGCCTTGATGGCCCATGAAGTCTCTTCCAACTCTATGATTCTATGATTCTAATTCTGAAGTGTAGTTGTTTCTTGGTACCCAAAGATCCTGTATCCACGGATTCTGCCATCCACAACTTGAAAACGAACAATCCCAAAAGCAAACCTTGATTTACCCAGCTAATGTAAAGAACACCCATGTTACTACACCATTGCATGTAATGGGCCTCGAGCATCTTTCGATTTTAATATCCACAGGGAGTCCTAGAACCAAGCCCAAGTGCATATAATAATAATAATAATAATAATAATAATAATAATAATAATAATAATAGACTCTGCAAAGACTCTGGCACAAGCCAGTAAAGGTGGCCTCAGTGGTGATTAGAATACTGGATGCAGTGCCTAAAAACCTTGGCCTGCACTTAAACACAATCAGCGCTGACAGAATTACCATCTGCCAGCTGCAAAAGGCCACCTTACTCAGATCTGCACGCATTATTCACCGATACATCACACAGTCCTAGACACTTGGGAAGTGTCCGATGTGTGATCCAATACAACAGCCAGTATAGTGATCTTGTTTGCTGTGTACTAATCTTGTGTTTCAGATAATAATAATAATAATAATAATAAGTATAAGTTCTGGGCTGCTGTAAGTTTTCCAGGCTGTATGGCCATGTTCCAGAAGCATTCTCTCCTGACGTTTCTGCCACATTTATGACAGGCATTATCCTTCCTCCAATTAAATCTAACAGGAGTATGGATGGCACAATAAAAGTTTTCAACGAAAACAAAATAGTCTATCTTTTTAATAGGTATTCAAAGACATCTACTAAAACCAACAAACTATTATTTTTTTAAAAAAACTTCTGAAAGCCTTCAAGAAACAGCCCCCTTTGAATGCATATGCCAAGTTGGCAGGCCAAACAATGAGGCTTGTAACCTGAACACTGGAACCTGAGGTGATGATGGTGTGTAATAATTTTGCACAGTAACTCTACATAATGGACAAGGTCAAGGATATACTTTTCCAAAACATACTGAAACAGATGATAAATACATTCCTATCTGTGTATAACTCTTCAATAGTGAAACATGCTGCCTTGGAATGTGGTGGAATCTCCTTCTCTGGAGTTTTTAAAACAGACACTAAATGGCTATCTGTCAGGAGTGCTTTGCTTGAACTAGATTGCCCTTGCAGTCTCTTCCAATTGTATGATTCTATGTAATACCAACTGGAATCGGCCAATCATATCTGAATATGAGATGCATCCCACAGTTGATGGATGCAGCATTCACAGTTGCTGCATGCCAGCATCAAGAATGATGCATATATCTTCAGTACTGGATGCAGGCTGAGCACAGAAGATCTGTGTGCAGCACAATGTCATAATTGGTATCCATTACTAGATCAGGATGACTATCCAGTCAAATGGTCTGGTTCCTTTTCCTTCAGGAGAAGTCAGTCTTTGTGGTTTGATGGGCCACATGCATTTCTTGATTCCAAAAGCACAACAGAAGATATGCAAATTGTTTGGAAAAGCATTTATTACTGTTCCATTTGACTTAAAGACAAACAGACTCATTATGATAATCATACAAAATAAGTTAACGCAGTATCCATAGGCACACAAATAAACCAGAGTTGGCATATGACCTCCAGGGCCATTTCTCTGATCCTCATAGTCCTCTCCAGTAAAAAAAACAACAACATTTTTGTATTTTTTAAAATTCTAAATGCCCCCTATGAACAGTGATGGTATTTCCTCATGCTTTTAGCTTCCCATCCATCATTGTAGGAAGGAGACCCTGGTGGTGCAATGGGTTAAACCCTTGTGCTGGCAGGACTGAAGACCGACAGGTTGGAGGTTCGAATCCAGGGAGAGCGCAGATGAGCTCCTTCTGTCAGCTCCAACTCCCCATGTGGGGACATGAGAGAAGCCTCCAACAAGCATGGTAAAATATCAAAACATCCTGGCATCCCCTGGGCAACATCCTTGGAGATGGCCAATTCTCTCACACCAGAAGCTACTTGCAATTTCTCAAGTTGCTCCTGACACACTCAAAAAAGTAGGAAAAAATCTTTCAGTCGCCTCTTGTTTTGAAAAAGGGGGGCTAAAACATGGTGAAAATATGCTAAGGAAGCATTTTGGAAGTTCTGTTTTGCAGTAGGCATGTGTACATGAGTAGCTTCTAAGGCCTCTTAAACTTTCCCATTTGCAACCTCTTTCCACCTGAGAAAATTATTTTGTGACCCCATTTTGCCCAAGAAATATTTATGCAATGCTGAGTATATAAAAATAGGTATGAAAATCAAACATTTGCTGATAAAATTCAGCATGTACAAGGTTTGCTAGACAGACTGGTTTTTCTTTTTATGATGTACAGCTAAAGCATTTGCTACACTGTAAACATTGCATGTTGTAGTAAAAAGATCCGTGTAAATATCTAAGTGGGATTCAGAAACTTTTTACTATTGCCAAAAGTCTTAGGACCCCAACGTTGAGCTAAGGGGACTCAGATAGAATCCATTGTTTAAAAAGGAGTGTCCTGGGGTACGTGTACAACCCCCTAGCCATCCACAGTTTCTTGTCTAGTAAAAAAAATGCACATTTTTCTTGTTATGTGCCTTCAAGTCATTTCTGACTTATAGTTACTCAGAAGTGAACCTGCTACAGGATTTTCTTAGTAAGATTTGTTCAGAGAGGGTTTGCATTCCTCTGTGAGTGAGAGAGTGTGACTAACAGCTTGATTGCCTGTACTCCTAGTTCAGCAAAAACCACCTATGGTGGCTCTCAGGCTGGATCTGCACAACCAAATAATGCAGTCTGAACTGCATTATATAGTCAGTGTAGATGATATAATGCAGTGTAGTTTG